CATATCCAAATGAAAAGGGGAGTTTTGCAACATGCCCTGAAAATTTGTTTTAATGAAGCCAAGCTCTGCTGGAACAACAGGGGGAAGATGTTTCAGAGATAAGAATCCCCTCATGAAAAATATCCTGCTGGTAGCATGCTAATAGCTCCTGGGCTTTCTGTAAACACGGCTTCCTGAGATCGCATTTATGATGCGTGCATGGAGTATTCGGACAGGCAAAATTCCTAGAGGGGCCAGTATGTCCGATAACTTTTGAGATTTGTTACAGAGTATGGATGCTAGGGCTGTGCGAAGCTTCAGTCCCTAATTTGATTCAGCTGGATTCGGTGGCTGAACCTCCAAATCCGAATCGAATCAGAGGACCTTTTAATCTCTCCAAATCAAATCGGAACCTTCTGAATCGATTCGAGAAAGATTTGCAGATTTGGACATGGACACAGCTTTAAATGTTTTTTCTGCATGCCTCTAGGTAGCAGGGACTTGTGAATGCTGAGATGCTGGGGCGCATGGCACATCCCACAGGAGCACAGCGGGGGTCCCCAGGAAGCTCGGCAGCAGACCTGGAAGTGGACCAGAAGCACTTCCAGTGCCCCCACATGGAGGGCCCCCCGGCTTGGCAACTGGTGCCTCCTGGGTCTGGGGAGAACCCGGGGTCTCCCCGCGGCTGATCGCTGAGCTGGGGAGGCGCGGGGGGGGCCCTAGCGTGCTCGCTGGCACACCCGGAAGTGGACTGGAAGTACTTCCGATCCACTTCCAAGTTCGCCACCGAGCACATGGAGGGTGTTTCCCCCCACCCCACCTCTGCGCTCCTGTGGGATGCTCCATGCACCCCAGCATTGCAGCAATCACGAGCCGTGCCTGCTACCTCAAGGTATGTAGAAAAAACTTACAAAGCTGTGTCTGTGTTTGAATCACTGATTCTCCCAATCAGCATTGAATCTTCAGATTCAGATTCAGCTGAATCAAATCAGGGACAGTGATCCAAATCAACTAATCGAATCACTGTCCCCGATTTGGGCCAAATCTAAATTGAATCGGGCCCACTTCACACACCCCTAATGGATGCCTGTATATTAGGAGCAGTTTCAAAAGGGGAGAGGGACTCTTGCTCTGAGACGCATGCACTTATTACGCTCTAACAGTGACTGCATCCACACATGCGGGGGAATGTGCTTGTAGCTCCAGAAATAGTAGTGACACAACTTTGGTGCCTCAGTGCACGCACCTGAACGTGCGCTTTGTCGTGCGACAAAGGGTGCCACTTTTGGCAAACTATCGTTTCCCAGCTCTTCAGCCAGGGGGAGCTGGAGGCTGCAGCAAGGCAGTTGGTATCTGGGGACATTAGCCAGCTGGACTGCCATAGCAGCCTTGACCTAGGGTGGCCCTTGCACCCTATACGCACTACATCAGTCCGGCCGTGGGTACTGCCACCTTTGAGAGCTGCTGCCACTGGCTACAGCATCCGCCCCCTTGGACCTGTGGCCCCATTCTGCACATCTGCTGGACCCAGACAGGGACCACACAGCCTCCTGGGATGTAGTATGGACACTCCAGCTAACCCTCATTTATCTCTGGGCCAGCTGCAAGCAGGCCATGGCTGCAGAGCTGTGTCCTTGAAGCCTGGTTCAGGGCCAGAGTCAGCCACCTGGCTCAGATCTGCAAGTACCAGCTGCCCCTGCCAGGGAGGATAGAGCCCACCCTGCATGCCCCTGCTGCTGCCCTCTGCCTCACCCCTATCAGCCCAGACCTGACCGAAGGGAAGATGACTTTGATATATTCATAGATGTTAGGGGCTGGAAGGGACCTCACAAGGCCAGCAGGTCCAGCCCCCCTACACTTGGGCAGGAAAGACTGCTGGGGTCAGATGACCCCAGAAAGGTGTGCATCCAGTCGTTTTTTGATCTCCAGGATAAATGATTGTACCACCTCTGGAGGGAGTCTTGTTCCAGACCCTGGAAACTCAAATTATAAAGAAATTTGTCCTTATGTCCAATCTGAAATGTTCTTCTAGCAGTTTGTGTCCACTGTTCCTTGTCTTCCCCCGGGGTGCCTTGGTGAACAAATGCTCCCCCAGGCCCTGATATCGCCCCTTATATACTTATAAGCTGCCACTAAGTCCCCTCTAAGTCTTCTCTTCTCCAGGCTAAACAGTCCCATGTCTTTCAGCCTCTCCTCACATGGCCTGTTCTCCAGACCTCTAATCGTGTGTGGTCCTCCTTTGGACTCTCTCAAGCTTCTCCACAGCCTTTTTGAAGTGTGGCGCCCAGAACTGGACACAGTACTCCAGCTGCGGTCTCACAAGAGCCGAGTAGAGTGCGAGGATGACATCCTTAGTCTTGTTTGACATGCATTGGTGGATGCATGCTAGTGTTTTATTTGCTTTGCCAGCTACAGCATCGCATTGGTGGCTCATGTTCACTCTGTGGTCTCTCATGACCCCCAGGTCTCTTTCAGTTGTGGTGCTGGCAAGTGTAGCACCGCCGAGCTTGTAAGTGTGTTGCAGATTATTTCTCCCCAGATGGAGCACTTTCCCCGGGTTAAAAGTCATCAGGGTTTGATCCCCACTCTTTGCAAGCCTGTCAAGGTCAGCATGGATCCCCAGTCTGTCCTCCAGCATGACCGCATTCCCCCATAATTTGGTGTCATCCATGAACTTTAGATGTATGCCTTGCTGGGGTCGTTTGACCCCAGTACTCTTTCCTGCCATGGCAGGGGGTCGGACTAGATGATCTACTCAGGTCCCTTCCGACCCTAGAAACTATGAAACTTTGCCAGTATGCTTTTAACACCCAAATCCAAATCACTGATGTTGAAAAGCACTGGTCCAAGTACTGAACCCTGAGGAATGCCACTGGTCACCTTATGCCATGTCAACTCATTGATGGTGAATGATGATGAAGATCTTGATGCCCCCTGCATCTGCCACCACATCTGGGCTTGGGCCACCAGTAAACACTGCTGGGAGCTCATAGTCCTCCCCACCTGGGACGCTGGACGCTGTGTGCAAACATTCAGAATGTCAAGGGGCACATTAATGCACCTGGTGGCCCAGCTGGCTGCAAACACTGAGTGACAGGACACTGTGATGTGCCCAGCCCTTTGGTGTGGGGAAGTCCACCAATGGCCGTGCCATCTTGGATGTTTGTGGGGCCATCCAGGCGGGCCTAGCCAAGTGGGTCATCTGGCTGGCCAATCCTGGGAAGGTGGTAGTGGGGTTTGGGATCCTTGGGTTCCCCAACTGTTCTGGGGCTTTTGATAGGACTGACATCCTCATTATCTGCCCCCCCAGGAAGGGCAGCAGTATGTCAACTGGCATGGTGCCCACTTGGTGGTGCTTGAAGCAGTCATAGAACATCGCGGCCACTTCACGCATGTTAACACCGGGTGGGCCCATGACACACGCATGCTGCACCGCTTCCCACTCCAAGGATTGATGGAAGCATGGACCTTTGCCCCAGGGATCCAGGACCAGATCATTGGGGATGTTGCCATCCCACCAGTGAACATGGTGGATGCTGCATACCTGCTCCTTCCCAGCTGATGTGCCCCTTCCTGGGGCACCTGGAAGCTCAGCAGCAGCACTACGAGGCAGTCATCTGCTGCCAGTGCACTGTTGAGTGGTCATTTGGCCAGCTGAAGGGGCACTGGCGGAGCCTTGCCAGCTGCCTGGAGGCAGTGCTGCAGCACATACGCTGCAGCACGTACACTGCAGTGATGATGTGGGGTATATCCTCCATAATGTGTGAGGGACCCAGGGAGAAATCTTTGAGTCCAAGTGGATGGAGGAAGCTTGCCGTGTATCACAGCACATCCAGTTACGGCAGCAGCAGAGCTGACCAGTTCAGAACAGTGTCACAGATGATCACCTCCTCCGAAGGTGGCCCACAGGAGTCAGAGTAAATGAGGCCATCACTGCCTATCTTCAGGCCCACCCCCCGAGTCAGGCATCAGCCTTCTCACCGCCTATGCCAGGCCGCCTGCCCAGGGGCCTCCACCCCCACCCACTGCCAGGACTGCAACAGCATAGGCAGTGTGGCTGTTGTGAAAACAAAATCAACTTTGCCCTCCCTCTCCCCAAAACTTCCCCAACACCAGCAGCTCAACATTGCAACAGTACCCCACACGGGACCCTCCACAACCCCACCATCATTCACCCAGTTGTCCCCTGTACACAAAGCCAGAACTACACTGCAACTATTTACCCAAGAACCAGGGGGCAAAGAAAGTCTTCGGGGCAGGGGTAACACCAAGGGAGGAGGCAAAGGGAGGAGGGAATCAGGTTGGCGGCCCCTTAGCCCGGTCTCAGTTCTGTGTGCCACCACCCTGTGTGCAGATGCCACGCCGATGTGGCCAGGGCCCCAGCTGCTCTGGTGAGGAGGGTGGGCACTCCTCCTCAGAGGCAGACACTACAGTTAGGCCTGGGATGGGGAGGCAGGAATAGCACTCCCCCCTCCTCTCCTGACCCCCACTTCTCTGCCGTGCAAGCCCAGCCTTTCCAGCAGGACAGCCTCCCCACCTTGCCAGAACTCCCAGCTGGATGGAGCTGGTCCCGGCCAGGAGGGCAGTGGGGAGGTGGTGGTGTCGCCAGGGCTGTGTGCCTGTCAGGCTGCAGCTCCGCACCTACTGGAGCCAGTGATTGAGGGTCCAGGGGTTGTAGAGCAATGCATCTATCCTAGTAATGGGAGAAGCTGGGCACCACAGGCTAGGCTGGCTGTGATGCTTGTCCTTTCCAGGTGGAGCTGTGCGGAGGCCATGGGCAAAGTGGGGGCCCCCTTTGGGCAGCAGGCTGCCCAGACACACACTGGGAGGGGACGGGCAACCCCAGGATGGCCGTGGTCCTTGTCAGGGTGCCAGCCCCACATTGCTCTGACTTGGGGATCATCTCCCTGGCCCTAAACCCGAGCATGAGGCTACTCCCTGGGGACCCTAGCCAAGGCCTGTTCATGCCCCATGCCATGGTTCTGTAGCTGAAGATGGCCCTCCATTTCCTCTCTCTACAGACAGCCCATCTGCCAGGGGAGAGGCCACTGTCCAGCACCTAGAAGCTGCCCAGCCACTCTCAGGCACTCCCGGGGCCATCCGGATGCGCCACCTGCGCCGGGCACAACGCACGCGGCGGGACGGCATCCTGGAGGAGCTGCTCCGAGCAGAGCGGGCACACCTCCGGGAGGCCCGGGAATACCGCCAGCAGGTCCTGGCTGAGTTCCGCCGCTCCCGCCGTGACCAGGCACTTTTCCTGGAGGAGGTGCAGGCCGGGAGGGTGGCACTGCAACAGCTGGTGGCAAAGATAATGGAGGAGCGGCAGCTGGCCCAAGACAGCTACGAGGAGCTGAGGCAACTGCAGGCCTCCATCAACACTGCCGTTCAGGAGAGGCTCAGGGTGTCACAGCAGCTCCTAGCCGCCATCCCCACCCTGGCCGCTCATGCTGCTGTGCCGCAGCCCATGCCAGCCCCAGTATTGGCACCTGGACCCCCTGACCAGCCCATGTTCCCACCACCAGGGACAGGGCCCAGCTGGGAGCATTTTGTGTGGCTGGTGGCTCAGGTGGTACCCCAGCAGCCCCCACAGGCCTGCCACAGCCATCGAGGGGTACTGCTCCTGCCTCCCCACTTCCTGGTCCCAGGCATAGCTGCAGCATCTGCCTCTGAGGAGGAGCACCCACTGCCTTCCCCAGAGCAGCCAGGGCCCCAGCCACGACAGCATGGCTTCCACGCACAGGGTGGTGGCACACAGGGCCAAGGCCAGGCTCAGGGCTGAGGGGTTGCTAATCTCTGATTCCCTTCTCCTGCGCCGCCTCCTCCCCTGGTGTTACCTCTGCCCCTAAGGACTGTCTCTTTCCCCCTGGTTCTTGTGTAAATAGTTGCAGTGTACTTCTGGCTTTGAATGGCTTTGTGCAAGGAGGGTGGGACTGGGTGAATGGTGGTGGGGTTGTGTTGGGTATTGTTGCAATGTTGAGCTGTTGGTGTTGGGGAAGTTTTGGGGAGAGGGAGGGGAAATAAAGTTGATTTTGTTTTCACAACAGCCACACTGCCTACATTGTTGCAGTCCTGACAGTGGGCGGGGATGGAGGCCCCTGGGTGGGTGGCCTGGCATAGGCGGTGAGAAGGCCAGTGCCCTGCTGGGTTGCGGGGTAGGCCAGCAGATGGGTGGTGATGGCCTCACACACTCTGGGTCCTGCGTGCCGCCATCAAAAGGGGTGGTCTTTGCCTGCAACACTGTTCCTGGCTGGTTGGCTCTGCTGCTTCTGTCACTGGATGTGCTGTGATACATAGCAAGCTTCCTCCATCCACTGAAAGGATGGGGAACCCAACGGCTCCAAACCTCACCGCCACCTTTCTGGGGTTGACCACCAGATGACCTGGTCAGCCAGGCTGTCCTGGATGGCCCCACAAATATCCAGGATGGCCAAGCCAACACTAGACTTCTGCACTCCAAACTGGTGGGCCACGTACCTGAGGCTGGCAGGCATGGCCAGCTTCAGGATGGCTATGGCCATACAGTTCTCCAGGGTGAGGGCTGGATGCATCATGGTGTCCTGCTTCTTGATGTTCGGAGTCAGCTGGGGCACCCAGTGTCCATCATCCCAGGTGGACAGGACTGTGCTCCCACCACTATTTACTCGTGGCCCAGGCCGAGATGTGGCAGCAGATGTTGGGAGGCGACGTCAGGAACTTCATCCTCCCCCTTGGTCAAGTCTGGGCTGGCAGTGGTGGGGCAGAGGGCAGCAGCAGGGGCCAGCAGGATGGGCTCCCTGGCAGAGGCAGCTGGTACTTGCGGACCTGAGCCAGGCAGCTGACTCTGACCTAAGGCCAGTCTCCCTGGGTGCAGTGGTGCTGCTGTGCCACAGCATGCTGGCAGCTGGTCCAGAGGTTCAGGCAGGTCTGCTGGAGCGTCCATACTTCAGCACAGGCAGCCGTGTGGTCCCTGTCTTGGTCCGGCAGGCATGCACCCATGGGGCTGCAGGTCTGAGGGGGTGGATGCTGTAGCAGGTGGCAGCAAGTCTCAGTATGGCATCAGTGTCCACTGCCAGACTGCTGCAGTACAAGGACCACTCTAGGTCAAGGCTGCTGCAGCAGCCCAGCTGGCACACGGGGCTAGTGTCACCAAATACCAACTGCCCAAACCTAAGAAGCTCCTGAGGGCAAGTAGCCTTGAGGTGCTTGCTAGGCCACCTGCTTATATTGCTGGGACCCGCACAGTTGCTGGCCCCAGGCTCCAGCTTCCCCTGGCTGAACATCTAGGAGCTGCCGAGCAAGGGCAGTTGCCAAAAGTGGCACAATTTGATGTAAAACAAAATGCACCCTGAGGCACAATTTACCAGCACAAATTTGTGCTGCTACTGTTTGTGGCACTACAAGTGTATGCCCTTGCATATGTGGACATGTCCAGGATGTGCGAAAAACAGGCATAACTCCCTGATTAGCCACAGGTAAAGCAGGGGGAAAAATCACAGTCAGTGTCCTGCAGCTGCTTTATGGCACTGAGCAGCACTGATATCCTGGTGTCCTGCCCATGCCCATGCCCCTCGCTCCTGACCCACAGCCCCTGCCTGCCCCTCACTTGCTCGGTCTTGGCAGCAGCTCCCTCCCTGCACCAGGACACGGGTCCAGCCTTATCTCTCCCACCTGCAGCTTTGTGGCTCTGAGCAGTGCCAGCCCTTGCTCTTTTGCCCCCTATGCCTGTGCCCAGGCCCCAGCAATCTCCATGTCATTTCTGGGAAGCCCTTGACGGGCTCAGGGACTGGGCTGGGCAAGCCCCTTCCCTTCCAAGCCGGCCTCCCCCTGCACAAGCTGCTCCAGGGGAGCAGGGGGGCTACAAACCCACCTATGGCACCTGCTTCTACCCATAACTCCTACACTCCCTGCACCTCTCTCACACATGCCCTTGCTGCCACCTCTGACCCATCACACACACACAGATCTTGCTGCCACCCACCTGGGCTGATGGTGCACAACTCCTGTGGCTCCCAGTCCACTTGCCATCAGGTTAGGCTGGCTCCATGCCTCCATGTGCAGCTCCCCGCTGGAGTGCTGGAAGCCCCACGTGGAGGCACAGAGCGGGCATAACCCAATGGTGCGTGGCTCCCACCTGCAGTGCCAAGAGTCCCATGCACTGGCACAGAGCCAGCCCAGTTTGGGCCAAAGGCGCGTGCCAGGGACCCAGGCCAGCTTGGCCAGGGTTCAGTACCACTGGGGGGTTCTGCCTGTAGAGGGCCCTGAGCGCCCTGGGGGTCCGCTGCCTGCTGCTACTGCTGGTAGGGGCTGTGTGCCATGGGGGAGGGGGCCATGTGGTGGCGCCCCCCACAAACCCCACACACATGCAGCTCCCAAGACTTAGCCATAGCCGTGCACTGCTGGGGAGCTTTGCCTGCCACTGGCCATGAGCGCCGCGAGGGCTTGCCACCTGCTGCTGCAAGCCATGTCCCACTTGTATTTTCTCCAGCACACTGAGGCAGTGTGCTAGAGCAGCAGGGAAACACAGCAGCCATAGAGACATTCTGGCCATCTGCCAGAGTGTCTCTTTGGA